CCATACATGACCACTGGAAAAACCATGGCCTTGATTAGACCGACCTTTGTTGACAAAGTAATGTCTCTGCTTTTTAATACGCTGTCTAGATTGGTCATAAGTTTCCTTCCAAGGAGTAAGCGTCTTTTCATTTCATGGCTGCAGTCACCATCTGCAGTGATTTTGGAGCCCAGAAAAATAAAGTCAACCATTGTTCCCCCATCTATTTGCCATGAAGTGATGGGACCAGATGCCATGATCTTAGTTTTCTGAATGTTGAGCTTTAAGCCAACTTTTTCACTCTCCTTTTTCACTTTCATCAAGAGGCTCTTTAGTTCTTCTTCACTTTCTGCCATAAGGGTGATGTCATCTGGGTATCTGAGTATTGATATTTCTCCCTTCAATCTTGATTCCAGCTTGTGCTTCTTCCAGCCTAGCATTTCTCATGATGTACTCTGCATATAAGTTAAATAAGCAGGGTGACAATATACAGCCTTGACGTACTCCTTTTCCTATTTGGAACCAGTCTGTTGTTCCATGTCCAGTTCTAACTTTTGCTTCTTGACCTGTCTACAGACAGATCTTATTTCATTTACTACATCTACACTTCTTAGCATGTGATCTTGGTCAAGGAACTTAATGTCAGCTTCCCCATATTAAAATTGGTGTAAAAGCAAAATCTAAAAATCGTAAAAGTAAAATCTACCTAAGGCATTGTTTTAAGGATTAATTGAGATAGTGCATATAAAACAGTTCAGTACCCGGCATATAGTAAGAGTTCAGTAAATGTTAGCTATTATTATTCTTACAGTTAGAACTTCCCTAGTGGCTCAGTCAGGTAAAGAATTTGCCTGCAATGCTGGAGACTAGGGTTCAATCCCTGGATCAGGAAGATCCCCTGGAGAAGGAAATGGTAACCCACTTCAGTATTCCTGCTTGGGGAATCCCATGGAAATCCCATGGCAGGCTACAGTCCATGGGAACACAGGAATTGGATATGACTTAACAACTAAACCACCACCACCATTTTTACAACTATTATATATATTAGGCAGCTTTCAACACTCTCAGGGGATACAAACTAATAAAATTAAAATCACTAAGAATTCTTAAGGGATTCAGTTTAGTGCAGGGATAGTTAGATTGGGATCCATGAAACTTCTGGAATTTTTGCTTCAGGATATTGGGTAAATATGCATGCATGCATGCATTTTTTTCTTGGGTAGGGTCCAGAGTTTTTGTCATATTCTCAAAGGACTGTCCCATGGCCTACAAACATTAAGGCCCCATGGTCTAGAGTCTGCATTGTATTGCCCCCCTCCCAAGAAGTCAAAAATTGGTACAGGGATGAGAATCTTAGATGTTACAATGTTTGTGTCCTTCCAAAGGGCCATAGTATGTATACAGATACAATAGCATATTGGTGATATTAAAATTTCATGCATGGGGGAGGGCAATTACAAAAAATGTCAGAGGGTGCACAAAAACTAAAAAACAAACAGATGTGTGAACTGAAGTAGCAAGGCGTACTCTGTTCAGAGAATTGCTGAGCACTAGAGTCTGAAAGAACCCGAGGGTGGAGAGATAAAGGAGAGTTTAGGGCAGTCAAACTTGATAACTAGAGGAGGCACTGGGGAATCATTGAATGAATAAAAGCTCAGAGATGATTCTGAGAATAAATGCCTGAGAAAACAGTGGTTTGAATAAAGACAGTAGGGAATTCAGCAAAGGCACTAATTTACTCTATGACAATGTGAATTCATCAACATGATATCAGAAAACAGCCAGAAATGCCTCATAGGAGTTCCCTGGTGGCCTAGTGGTTAGGATTCCAGGTTTTTACTGCCACAGCCCAGGTTCAATCTCCAATCAAGAAAGTGAGATCTCAGAAGAATCCATTCATTTGATAGATAATCTGAAGGCAGAAAGCACACAAAGACTGAGATAAAGCTTCCCAACACCTGGGGATGCTCCAGTGTTGGCCTCTGGTGTGTGGGGCCAGGATCCAGCTGCTGGCTATGCCAGGTTCCAAGCGTTTCTGGGATCTCAGCTTATGACCACATACAGCAGAACTCTGCTTGAAATTAAGGTGGTCAGTTCGTCCCCTTGTTACTCAGAAGCCTGGCATCCAGTCATGATGTGAAATACCATGTCTAATCTTCCCCCCAATTTTTCCTTTGGCCAATGTAAGTGCTGCGTGCAGGCTCTCAGTTCCACGAGCAGGGATCAAACCTGTATACCTTGCAGGGGAAGCACAGTCTTAACCCCTGAACCGCCAGAGAAGTCCTTCCCTCAAGCTTTTGGCATATATAATCAGACATCCACTAGATGACTCAACCTGCACACCTTCCAACACACTTCAAAGTCAACATACCCAAAATTGTGCTTATCATTTTTATCCTGCTTCCCCAAGTTCTTCCTGCTGCATACTCTCATCTTTGATTCCACTCTTCCCTTTATTCATCGTACCCAATCTAATACCAAGTCCTAACTTGCCTTTTAAGTATCTCACCACCAGAGGCTTCCCAATGGCAAAATGGCAGAGTCCACCTGCCAATGCAGGAGACACAGGAGATGCTGGTTCAATCCCTGGGTCAGGAAGATCCCCTGGAGGAGGAAATGACAACCCACTCCAGTATTCTTGCCTGGGAAATCCCATGGACAGTGGAGCCTGGCAGGCTACAGTCCATGAGTTCGCCAAGTCGGACACAACTGAGCAACTGAGCACACACACACACACTCTCTCACCTAAACTGTTGCCAGATGCATAGCCTAACAGTCTTCGTCTCCCCCAAATCTACCCTCTACGGTGCAACCATGGTTCTAAAACACCAAATCTGTCATCTCCTTGCTTAAATCCCCACTGTGCCTTCCCGTCATGGACAGCAGCTTCCCAGCCAGCGTGTCTTGACAATGTTAATTCCCTCAGCATTTTGGACTGCTAGGCAGAACCTGGGATAGCTAGAATTCTTAAGCCAATAGTCTAAAGCCTGAAGCATCCTATCTGTGTGCTGTTTGAAATGGTTCTCTGTGCCACAATGTGAGAAGGGCTGAGAACTAATCTTTGGGCACTCCCTGACTGGTTCTGACCTCATCCTGCCTCCAGCACTGAACAGCTTTAGCTTTAGCACATTAAATACTGTGCTACTTATCAGTCTCTTACTTCTGCTCAAAAGTATCCCACAGATCTGAAATGAGCTTACCTTCATCTTTGTCTGAGAAGTTTCTAACCTTCAAGATCATTCAACTGTCATTTTCCCAGGAAATTTTCTTAGAATTTCAGGGCAGGTTGGATACCCTTCCTTACACTCTCAAAGTATTTTGTTTCAAAATAATCTCTTATGTATCAGTCTAGTGCCCTGGTGGCTCAGACTGGTAGAGACTGCCTGCAATGTGGGAGACCCAGGTTTGATCCCTGGATTGGGAAGATGCCCGAGAAGGAAATGGCAACCCACTCCAGTGTTCTTGCCTGGAGAATACCATGGATGGAGAAGCCTTGTGGGCTATGATCCGTGGGGACACAGAGAGTCAAACACAACTGAGTGACTAACACTTTCACACCCCCCTGGTAATGATCAGACAGAACTGCCCTGCTCATCTTTGTATCTTCAGCGGCCACCAGCAGAGCCCTTGTGTGTACTCCGTTACCTGAATGAGAATGATGCAAAAGAATAAGAGGGCCAGGCTTACCTTTCCTTGCCTAGAGTGTAAAAAAGTTCGTGGTTACATAAGCCAAAAAGAGCTTTGGAGAAGAGGATGATATAACAGGATTAAATGTGGCAAAGGACAGGCCACTGGATTTGATCTAGTTACTTAAAAGTCTGAGCACAGATTTAAATATGATGGAAATCAGGTTTGGAAGGACTGAGGAGAGAAGAAATAAGAATAAGATACAAATCCCTTACCCAAGATATTTGGCACTATAAAGAACAAAAGAAAATGAAGGATTACTGAATTCCTACAGTCCCATTGCAATTGTTTTGCTACCATTTAAGATACACTGTTCCACAATAACATAGTATGCTTGAGAAATCCAGTTTCCCTCCATATCCCTTTCCTTCCCTTTCCCCAGTGGGTATCAATTTCCATTAGTTCATGGTTTATCCTTCCTTTTTCTGGCCATGTAGCATGTGGGATCTTAGCTCCCCGACTAGGGATTGAATCTAGGGCCCTTGCAGTGGAAGCACAGTCTTAACCTCTGGAGCTCCAGGGCAGCCCTAGCCTTCCATTTTTAAAATGGAGACAAATGTATAATATACATTATGTGTCACACTTTAGATAGGAAAACACATTATACATTCTGTTCTACATGCTACTTTCTTCACTTAATATAGCCTCGTGATCTCTTCAATCAGTGTGTAGTCTCCCTCATTCCTTTTTACTGATGCTTAGTACTCTATTGTATAAATTTACCAGTTTATTCAACCAGTCCCCTACTGACTGATATGAGAATTGTTTCCAATCTGTTATTACAAATAGTGCTGCAATGAATAGCTTTGTGCATGTTACTTCCTATTTTTGCCATCTTATTTCCAGGAACTTACTCCTCTTCTCACTTAATCCTCACAATAACTCTATGCCACAGACACTGGGTCTTCATCTTATGCATAACTTTGATGTAATGAATCAAGTGCTGCAGTACACAGCAGTCCAGCACTTGCAATAGCACATTATAGAGTAAGTCTTTAAAACTTGGAATAAACATCCTCACTCCTACCTTACCATTCTTCTCCCAATATACTGACATCGCTTCTCAGAGAAAAAGAAGTTATTCTGTCAAGTTAAGCACCACAAACGATAAACAAGGAGTTTAGTTTAATTTTCTCTGGGTATTTGTAAAACACTTAGGGCCAACATAGAAAAAAAATAATAATGAAGCCTCCTGTGAAAAAATTACACTTACAAAAGAAAGGCCTGAGAGGGATTAGCGCCTTAGCCCCTCTGAGCTATAGCAACTCTGATTGGTCCAAGGAAGTGAATAGATATTGGGAGGCTAGGACAAGAGGAAAAACAACGAGAAATCACTGAGGGAGAGGGCCTCGAAGTGGGCCTCGAGGGGGAACCGGAGGTCGGGGAGTGGGTCTGGGTGGAGGGAGGGGCCCCCGCTGGTAGCCGTAGGGTGGAGGCCGTGGAGGGCCAGTGTATCCATGAGGAGGCATCAGTGGAGGAGGTCCACGCATACCATGCGGAGGCATGGGACCTGGGTGACCTGCAGGTAAAAAAGGAAAACTTAGTAAAAACAAGGAATAGAAGACAGTTCATATTAGGACAATGTAGGGAGAGGATACACAGGGAGACAGTGAAAAGAAATAGAAGAAAGAAAAGAAAGTGCAGGGGATAAGAGGTGTGACAAAAGCTGCAAGAACAAAATGTGAGGATCAGGGAGGTGGCTAAAGACTACTCACCCATGGGAGAGCCAAACGGAGGCCCTCGGGGGGGCATGCCCATTGGAGGAGGTCCAGGATGAGGCATTCCAGGTGGTGGTCGGGGTGGTGGCTGCCCCCCAGAGCCAGGGGGCCCAGCGTGGGGGTGCCCTAAGCCATGAGGGCCATGGTGGGCCAGCTGCATCTGAGACATACCTATGAGAACACAACAAGACACAATGAGAAGGGAGACAAAAGAAAGTTAGACAGGAGGGCAAAGAAAACAAGAGAGAAGAAAATGACATCAGACAGAATACAGAAATTAAAGCTGGTAAAAAGTGCCCTTATCCTTGACTCCATCCCAAGAGACTAAATCAACCAACTACCCAACAGCTCCCTACTCCCTGAAGCCCATTCACTCCTTCCATGATTTAGGCATTGTAACAGTGCTGCAGAATGGCGTGATTATTCTACTGAAGAGAATCTGGGAAGACAACAGAGACACGGTCACAGCAAAGATCTAATTCTAAAGGATGAACAGGAATTTTTCAGGTAGACAACAGATTGGGAAAAGAACATTCCAGGCAGAAAAAAAATCAGCAGGTGCAAAGCATGGATGTGATCAACAGCACAGTATGTTAAAGGAAAACCAGTAAAATAGCTTGCAGTCATGGGAGTAACCCGCAGGAGCCAGATAATGCAACGCCTAGAATGCTATGATAGCAAGTTTGGGTTTCACTCTAAAGTAAAAGGGAACAACAGAAGAATTATGAGCAAAGGTGTGTGTATATCTGTATTTAAGAAAAATTACTCTGAGATAGTCAATCAAAGTGGAGATAATTAGAGTCAAAGTGTCAGTTAGGGTATTACTAAAATAAATTAGGTGTGAAATAATGATAGGAGAGCCTGGACTTCTCAGGTGGCGCCAAGTGGTAAAGAACCCACCTACCAATGCAGAAGAGCCTGTTGTTCCCTTTGGTAAAACTTAAACAAGAAATGAAGACAGCATGATGGTTGTTAAAATAAACAGTAAAGCAGTTTGCGTTTATTTTCATAAAAGAATGTCTGAAAGAAAGGAGAGCTTGGGCACTATCTATTATTGTTAAAGGACAAAGAACAGCAGCATTAAGTACTGACAGAGCTCTTCTACCGAGCTCTTCCCTCTCCTTCCCAGCAAAGAACACCCACCTGGATGGGGCATCCCACCCGGTGGGAATGGGTGAGGATGTGAGTGTCCGTGTCCAGGATGTCCAGCCCCTGGGGTTCCCGCTGACGGGGGGCCATGTCCTCCGGCCCCAGGAGGCATAGGTGGTGGTGGCATGGCTGGGGGTATCCCAGGAGGAAGGGCTCCAGGAGGCGGTACCGGAGGTGGGAAGGAGCCAGGAGGAGGCATGCCTATAGAGAAAACGGAAAAACAGTTAATGATAGTGAGCAGAGAGTGCCTTTAGAAAGCCTGTTCCATCCTGGCCTCTCCGGCAGAATGAGCTCTTTTTCCCTCCTCCCAGCTCTCTAAAGTCAGAAGCAACATTAAATGACTCAACAACCACCTTCTGGAGAAACTCAACAACTTTCTTCCCACCATAATCATCATCCCTCAACCCCTTTCTCATCACCTAATGACTCAATGTCCCCTCCTTGCCAGGTTCTTTTTCCTTCTTCCTGGCCCCACCCTTCCCAACCCAAGACAAACATTTTTTATCAAAAGCTTTACCTGGTGGAGGAAGCCCAGATCCCAATGATGATACCACAGGATTGGGAGCAGATGGTGGAGGGGGTGCATCTGCAAACAGCTGATGAGGGCGGTCAGCCTGGGAGAGTGGGTTCTGTGCTGCCAGAAGTCTTTCAGCGGCTGAGCCATGGCGCTCACCCTTGGAGTCCTTCTTGAATGCGTAGGACACAGTGATTGGGCGGTTACAGAGGTACTGCCCATTCATGGCCTCAATCGCTGCATCCGAAGCATCAAATGAAGCAAAATTAATAAAGGCATAACCTTTGGAGTTGCCTGTGTCAGGGTCCCGCATAATCTTGGGGGTTTGTAAGATGACCCCAAAGGCGCTAAAAGTATCATAAAGCAACTTCTCATCAATCTCTGGGTCCAGGTTCCCAATAAAAATGTTGGCCCCCACATCCAGGTTTTTGTTGTGAGCTGATGCCTTGTTCACCCGTATTGGCTTCCCATAGAGTTTGATCATGTTCATGATCTTAATGGCATAGTCAGCATCTTCCTCACTCAAGAATTCCACAAAGCCATAGCCTGAGGAAGTGGAAGAGAAGAAGTTAGCAACTGAAGTGATTAAAAACGAGTTTATAACTCATTTGCCTTCTAAAGCACAAAGGATGAGAAATAAGAATCCCAACTTCAACTGAGAATGGTTCCAGAAACAAAGTCTTTAGTTTGCTCACTCAAAAACAGTTAACACCACTGGGGACCTCCAGGAGCAGTCTGTCCCCTCTATTCATAACTGCACTTTTTGCCCTGTACTCACCTTGGTGCTGACCAGTGACTCTATCTTTTGGCATGTGCGTGTTCACTACTGGCCCTGCCTGGAGAAATAGTTCCCACAGCAGTGGTTCGCTAACCTTCTCATCGAGGCCGCCCACGTACACAGTGGCATCTGGAGGACAGGATTAGGAGGTGAGGGCAGAGATGAGGGGAAATAGGGAGGTAGCGGTAACATGAAGATGGAACCCAGGCAGAGGAAGTGGGGGTAGAGATAGGGTAGAAAAGCAAAGAATAAGAAAAAAAAAAAAAAGACGTTAGATTAAGCTTTTAGAAGTTCCTCCTTTTCAGAAAATAGACAATCTTCTTAAGTCTAATTTAGAGTTACGGTGCAAGTTCACTCTGTAACTTTTTTTTTTTTTTCCTGAGTGGGAAGGCAACAGAGGATTGGACACAGCATCACAACTACAGGCCTCAAGCCTGTCCATCCCGTCCCCATAAGGCATCGGGACCAGTCTCGCGCCCTTCGGAAAGGTAAAATCTCCCGTCCCGGCGGAAGCATTGCTAAGCCTAGTCGAGGTCCCCCAAGCCCCCAGAGTCCATTCTGGGTTTGTCCCCTCCAGTCACCCTGGTTTCGCTCGGAGATCGGCCCGGCCGCCATGGCGAAAGCGCTCCCGCCGTCTCCAGGCAGCGATCCCGCCCCCTGACCTCAGTCACTACTTCTACTTCCGAGGTGAAGGCTGACGTGATGGTGGGCGGGGCCGCGGCAGGGGAGGAGCCGGAAGCGGCCTCGGCCATCTTAGAAAACGCTGGGACTGGAAGCGGCCGAGGCTGTGGTGCTGTTGAGAAGTGCTACTGTGAGCGGACAGGGCGGGGAACGTGAAAAGGAAACGTTCTGTGTCTTTTAAGGCAATGTTAGAAGTTAAAGGGTCACACTGCCCCCGAAAATGTCCCTTCAGAAGCTGGGAGAACAAAACTTTAGTTTTCATGTGTTTTGTAGCCTTCCCCCCCACTCCCAGAAGGGTGTGCAGAGGAACCCCTCAACGCAGGGCGTGGGGACAACTGTCCATCCCAATCCGCAGTCCTTGAACAGATGCGGCCTCACAGCCCAGGCCCGGGCTTGAGGTATTTCCTTTTTCCTCAGGGAGGGAATTATGGAATGTCTGAGCTCACCTAGTCTCTGCATAGAGGGTGAGGGGAACCTGAGACTCAGAGGTGGGGTGGTACCGAAGCTGACGGGGGTTTGACACTGAAGCCCAGAGGCCTTGGCCTCGACCTCGACCTCTAGAGCACACCCTGAACCCCAGCAACATCTGGGTGTGCCTTTGCCCCGTCTGCACGGAAGAGAGGACCTTAAATTGTGAATCCTGCAGTGCCTCATGCAACCCAGCCCCTTACTTCCTTAGCAGTAATATGGTCGGTGCGGTCCCTTCGTGGTTCACATTCCCTTCCCTCCTCTCCCACCACTTCCTTACTTAGGGTTCCTTTAATCAGACACAAACAATGCCAGCGGCGTGTATAAATATTGTGCTTTAATGAACTCCTTAAATAGAAATGTCACCACGAAAATATATAATTGGAAGAGATAGGGTGTCCCATGTATACTCCATACCCATAGAAAACTATAAGGGAAGAAATAGAAATTGGAATTAAAGAAGCAGCAAGAGGAGGTGAGAAGGAGGTCTGTAGGCCATCTTGTTGGCACTGATAAACAGTATACCTGATTATCACAATTTACCAGCGCGATATCCAAAATTTCCATCCCAAAGGCATGGAATTGCCCTGAAAAAAGAAGTGTTCTGGATTGTTTTTGTTTCTTAATTCTTCAAATGACAAGAACTATTTAAACCAAACAAGGCAGGGTAAGAGTTGGATAAGGTTAGCACTGCTCATCTGCAATAGAAACTCAGGTCAGTGATCTTGTTTATGAAAGCTGAGGCAGCAAGACCAGGTAAGAAAAACCGAAGTGAAGTCGCTCAGCCGTGTCCGACTCTTTGCGACCCCATGGACTGTAGCCTAATCCCATGGATCCTCCGTCCATGGGATTCTCCAGGCAAGAGTACTGCAGTGGGTTGCCACTTCCTTCTCCAGGGGATCTTCCCGACCCAGGGATCGAACCCGGGTCTCCTGCATTGTAGGCAGACGCTTTACCGTGTGAGACGCCAAGAAGCCCAAGAAAAACCAAAGGATTAGACAAAACTCTCCCTCACCCCAGACCACCTTCTGTCCTGCCGGTGAGAAAGCCAGCAATTTCAACAGGATTGGGAGAGAATGGTATTTGGGTTTCTTTTCTTGGAGTGATCCTCGGGAGATATCCGTGGTGTCCATTTCCTTAATAACTCCTGAAGGTGGGATAGCTCCTCCTGGAGACCAGAGATTGTGGGAGCTGAGAGGCCCATCTGGGAAGAGGGTGAAGAGAGGCAGAGAGGATCCTTAATTCTTAGTTCCCTTTCCCCCTCCGATTATGCCCTAGGTTCCACTTGATATAAGCTAGAAGCAGTTTTCCCACACTCCCAATCTATCCACTTTGATACCAATAGGAATGGTATCTCACTTCCCAGTCCCCCAAACCCTTGCCCTTCTGCCTCCTGGAAACATCTGGTTTCTCCTAGAATATCTGGTTCAACAGTCAGACCCCTTCTCCCACTCCCAATTTTTGTCTTCCCTTCTCACCTGGACCTCAGGCCTTCCCCTCAGGTAGCAGCGTCTCCAGAGCCTGATCTGGGGTCCCAGACATCCAGGCAGCAGCAGTCCCGGGGGTAAAGGGCAAGCGCCCCAATGTGAGGGGAGCCCCCACTCCTGATCAGCCAGGCTTTCAGAAGAGATAGCAGGTCGAGGGAGCCAACGAGAAGAGACTGCCAGCAGGGAGGGACTGTCCCGCCAAGGACAGAGTTGATTCAGGGGTGTCAGGGCCCCTCTAGAGAAGAGCCACACAGAACTGGGGGGCCCCGGAACCATGAAGCTTGGCTAAGGAGGAAAGGGAAATCAACTGGCAACCTAGAAACCTGATGACCCCAGTTTCCCCAGACTGGGTCATGAAGGAATGTCCAGCTGTCACCCACTGCACCCTGCACTGGTGATCAAAGTACAAGCCTCCCCCTGAGAACACTTTAGCTGATTAGACTCCAAACTAGGCCTCAGGACTGATTAAAGTTGATTTTAGGGAAACATAAAAATGTGTGCATGAGATAGGAAGACTAATAAGGATGAGGAGGATAAAAAAAGATGCCATTTGTGATTTCTAGGATTTCTGTCTTCCTGGGGACAGTTAGGACTATAAATGACAACTGTTAACAGAAGGAATGAGGAACTCAGACACTATCACTTCTCCTCATCTAGTAGGATGAGCCTGTGAGAAAAATCAAAGGAATTTAGGAACTTTGGACACCTTACCTGCTGTCTAGGGAGCCAGGAATCTGGGCAGTGTTCTGGGTCATAGCCAGGATTATGGAATTGTAGTATTTGTTTATTGCTGTAGCGTAAATTCCAGTCCCAGACAGATAGCTGTGGGTTAATAGAGTTCCCAGCCAGGGGCTGGGAGTACCCAGCAGTATAGACTTGTGTATAGTTGTTGAACTAGATAGAGGAAACAAGAAGAGGAAGGTTAAACAAAAATATATAATCCTCCCCAGTTTAGAGATAAACCGTGAAACTCATCTGTTACTCTAAGAATCAGATGTAAGGCTTCCCTGGTGGCTCAGTGGGAAAGAAGCCACCTGCCAGTGCAAGAGGCACAGGTTCGATCCCCGGTCTGGAAAGATCTCATCTACCTTGGAGCAACTAAGCCTGAGCACCATGACCATTGAGCCTGTGATCTAGAGCTTGGGAGTCACAACTACTGAGCCCACATGCCACAAGTGCTGAAGCATGCACACCCTAGAGCCCCATGCTCCGCAACAAGAGAAGCCACCGCAATGAGAACTCCATGCACCACACCTGGAGAATATGCCCCCACTCCCCAGTCACTGCAACTAAAGAGCCCACTCAGCAATGAGGACCCAGCACAGCCACACACAAAGAAACGAATCAGATGTAGGGTGAAAGTCCAGTCCTGAAAGAAAGCACCAACCTCCTCCCCCTTTCCCACCCACAGACCACTTTTCATATTCAAGAGTAAACTTCAGAGAGTAGTTCTTTTGTTGGCCATACTGCACAGCTTGTGGGATCCTAGTTCCCCCACCAGTAATTGAACCTGGGCCATGGCAGTGAATGCCCAGAATCTTAACCACTAGCCCACCAGGAGACTCCCAGAGAGTACTTAATAGGTGGGGAAAAGCCAAAAACACAAGTCGCTGACCTGTCCACTCTGCTTTCCACGCTCCCAGGGAGTGTCTCTCAAGAATGTAAGGGTGTCAGGAACTCTGACACTGTCATGAAGAGCAAGAAGGAAGAACTCAGAAAATTCAAACTCAGCTGGAAACTGCTGGAGGAGCTGCCAGACGCAATCAAGGAAGAGGAGAAACACTGGGGCCTGAGAAGAGGGAAATTTAAAAGGTTGGAAGGGGTTGTGGGGACTTAAATGGGGAGGATGAGTGACGTGGGAATGGGGACACCAAGGTGGTCAGGGAGTGGACATCAGTTGAGGTAGGGGGTTGTGGTCCCTCATCTGGATCTCCTTTCAAGCTCAGCCCAACCTCAGACCCAATTTGGACCTAATTCACCTCCAGTGGATTTTAGTATGTCATTTCCTCACCCCTGTACTTCTTAATAATACCCTCCCCAAACATTCTCACCTCTTCACTGGCCCCAGATCCCCCAAGTCGGGTCAGGAAAGGATGTCCAGCTGCCACCCACTCTCGTTGCACTAGTGACTGGAAGCCAAGCAGTGTTCGGGCTTCAGGGGCTGAAAGCAGCTGGACGAGTGAAGAGAGGAGGCCATTGAAATCACGATCACCGCGCTCTGGGTGATAAAGAGGGATAAGGGACAAAGAAAGAAAGGCCAAGAAACTAGGGCAGAAGAGAGTGAGAAAAGAAAACATGGCAAGAGGAAGTAAGAGGCACAGAGGGGAAAGTTTTGGGTAGGTAGGATTGAGAGGGCACATAAAAGTGAAGAGAAAACAAAGACCTTGAGTGATTCACTTCATACACTCCACCAAGATAGAAATACTCAGCTTCACATGTAGGAAGCAGAATCAAATGCCAAACCAGTTTTCCTCATTTTCCTTCCCCCGCCCCCAATCCCAGTCCCCATCCACTGATGGAAAGACAGGAACAGAAGACTGAGAACCTCTCTGTTAGGGACCACAAGCTTAATGGGGAGGCAGAAGTAGCACTGAACACGAGTGAAAGTGAAGCCGCTCAGTCGTGTCCGACTCTCTGCGACCCCGTGGACTGTAGCCCACCAGGCTCCTCCATCCATGGGATTCTCCAGGCAAGATACTGGAGTGGGTTGCCATTTCCTTCTCCAGAGGATCTTCCCACAAGTAGTGCCTAGCAAAATGAGAGGAGGATGCCAGCACTGGAAGGGGACAAGGAAACTTTCTAGATCTCCCTTCCTGAGCAGAATCCAGTCAGGTGAGTAAAGAAAAAAGGCAAGGAATGGAGTGGATTGGCCCAAGAAACTCACCTTGAAGTACTACAGAGCGAACCCTGGATGTCACTAAGACTGAGATGTCACTGGCCTTTCGAAGACAAGACCTGGAGGGGTGGGCGAGGAAGAGA